ATCGTACGGCCGCGACCAAAATCCCTAACTCATAATGCCTCGCTCGGTTGTTCAGAAAAACAGCAAAAAAATAGAATAGGATTGTCAAATTACAATAAGTTGACAAAAGCTGGTAAGTACCAAGAAAACTGAGCTGTACAAAATCTCAGTTAGTCTTGCACCAATTCCCGATAATGCCCATTACCGATGTTGGTCACCCATTTGAGACTATATCCACCATTCCCGAGCACCTTCCCATGTGGAAAACTTGGTCGCGATTGGGACCTATTCGGAGGTGGACCATGACATGGGCAAGGGCACAGTGCAAGAGAATCGAGAGCAAGAAACTGGCCAACAGTGAAGTTTATTCCAGATAAATGCCTTTCTAGACGACACAGCGTTTCCTGGAGTCATTTGCCGTGCTAGTGACAATCTCCTAATAAACGGTCACAGAACGATTCAACGCAGAGACAGTAAATTCCGAAAGTGGTCGTTTCACTGGACCTTTTCCCGCAACAATAAATTTTCATCAAAAACCGGGGTCGTCACTGATAGCGTTCAAGGTTTTCGCATAATCAAGAAGAAAGCGATGCCTTTCATACCAGCGCCAGGGTTGCTTTGATCTTGACTTTTGGACTAGCGTTACAATGAAGCGTACGGTACGATATGGGAAGGCATTCGAGAGCGTAATATTTCATTTGCTCATTAATTTAGTCATTCCAAAGACTTTAACTTCAGGCGGAAGTAGGGTAGTGGCAGGTGGCGCTCACCACGGTGCAGTACGGGGGTTGAAGGCGTAAGGCACGATGATTCGGTACTCGGTTCTGAATAGGAGTAGGAGTGCTATGTAGTGAGGAAAATGGCGAGAACTGAAGTTAATGGTCAAGAACCGTGCGCAAAAACTTTTGTACTACACGACTCTAAAAGCAGTTCGGACGAGTTTTCCGTTGGCATCGTGCCAATAGCAGCTACGGTAGATACGGCGCACTTCGATACTCATATATCCATGCAGCACCGCAGCCGCTTCACAAGAATACCTTCGTTTCACCTTGTACTTCGTAAATGAAGCGATGCTAGCAGAAGCAGCGGTCGGACTTGTGTGGGCAGGCGGGCGCGGTGGACGTCAGGATCGCTATGTTGAAGCCTCATAAGGCGCTGTAAGAGCAACTTTCTTCGAAAAAGTG